AAATTAACATTTGCCTTATTATTTAATTGTCGGAAAATACCAAACAGTATCTACTTTCTGTTTCTCAAATATGACCATCATCTGTTTTTATTAATTTGTAATGATTCAAAATGATCGTCTTTTTATACTGTTGGTTGCAATCTGAACAATCACTTTGGACTGCTGATGGACACGAGAATAAACAAAATCCATCATCTGTTGCAGCAGTTTGAGTCTTTATTGATGCATCAGCAGTTAACAAACATTGACTGTTGATGGACAGAGAACTGATGTGTTCTCCCCTGATTTTAGAATCATAAACAGTTATTTTAAATTACAGTGGGACTTTCTGCTGTGATGTGCAAACACACATATTTGTACACACACAACGTGCACCTGGTAGAAATGAAATTAATCCAGGGCAGGAAACGAGGCCAGTACCGGTGTGTAATTACCCCCCCAATAACCACTCATTACCACTCATCCCCTCACTTCAAACCATCTCCCTCTCCCTATCTGTATGCGAACAGGAACACCTCTTAATTTTACAATCTCAATTTTTTTTTTTTGTCAAATGTTGACGAGCAACCAGGCGGCCATTATCCCGGCGCAGAGGGGATTAGTGGTGTTTGGCTACAAGTGAAGAAACAGTGAAGGAGACAAAACAGGCAGAGAAGGCAGAGCGTGACAAGAGCTCTGAGCTGCTTGTATGTGTTTTTTTCTTTCTGTCTTTATTTCCTCTCGTGTTAAAGTCTTAATCTTGGTGGCTGGAACTGTGCCTGCGTCTCTGATCTGTCATGCTGCTTTGTCCCCTCGTCAGAACAAGAGAAAAGAGAGGTAAATGATTGAGCCTAAGCCTTAAGGGGATGGAAGGGGGAGAATTGATGTCTCAAGTGACAACAAGGCAAGTAATATGTTGTCAGTGACACACACACACGTAGTCGTGAATGTTGTAGTACAGATTTTTCGCTAGTTGATCTTAGTCATTCTGTTTTGACACTCAGCACACTACCTGGCAACAATACCAAAGTGTATGGACACCCAAACATTATGCCTTTATGTGATAGTTGAACATGTGAGAGTATGTATAACACGTGTAACAAGATAAAACCAGTCTATAAGACTATCCTTCATCATTGCTAATGGTGTTTACAATGTTGCTGCAGACTTGTTTCAGTGTGGTTGGAAAACTTTCTGCAAATAATTGAAACACGCCTCGGTGGACAGAAAACTTCTGACGTGCATTGAAATGTGTCAGCATTAATGTGAACATGACCTGGAAGTGTCTGCTGGAACAGATCAGAGACAACACGACAAGTACTGTAACACACCCAGTAAGACACACGTGGTTCATTGTCGTCAAGATTTCTAATCGTCATTCGACAGCAATCCTCGATCTGCCAGACTCTCACTTCTCCACTCACTCCAGAGGATTATGGGTATTCTGACAGGCCTGTCAATCACTGGGCCGGACCCCACCTCTCTCTGGTTGAACACTCACACTNNNNACACACACACACACACCAGAACCCTTGCAGCCATGTGACCCCACTTTAACCCCTGGTATCTGTCCAGCAGTCTGTCTGAATTACAGCTGAGCGTCTCTGACTGATCTCAGTCTGTCTCTCGCTGTTTGCAGCTACTGGGACTGTTTTTAACAGAAAACATTTGACTTTCATTGATCAGAGAGGTTTCACCATCTACTGTTAAACATTCCTCACAAGCTGCAACCAGAGAATGGTTGATGGTTTCATTTGAACAATTAATTGATCATTAAAATAATTATTTCTGTCTACTAACTAATTGATGAAACAACTTATTATTTCAGCTCTACTGCACTGGATGTCTGTGTGAGTAGATGTTTTCACAGATGGAAGTATGCACCAACTGGACCATCACAGACATTATTTAAGTGTTGCGTACCCTTGCACATGGTACAATTTTCAGAAAATTTCCATTGTGGTCTTTGATGGAAGGGGGAACAAGGATAGTCTATAAAACAGAGACACTACATACTCAAAGTAGGCAAATACATTAGTCGACAAATACTCAAGAAGGTTGGAACCTGCCACAACACTTCAACAGTATGTGAGATAATAACCTAACCTGTTGCCACACCAATTTTTTACTGCAGTTTTTACCCAGTCTGATAGCTTGTTCTTTGAAGTCTGAAGTTTATTTTTGATTGCTTTTGGAATGCCATCATATTAAGCACAACAGGCATAGTCAAGGTGACAGTGAATTAGAGCACCCACCAGTATTTAGTCCAAAAGTCTAAAAATTTATTCTGTGGTTAACCTTAACAACCTTAGTACCTTTGAGCTAAATCCATCACAAGATGTCACATCTGTCGTGGTGAAACAGCATTGAGAGCGGGAGCTGCCTGTTAACTACCTGGCTGGTACACTTTCCCACAGCCGCCTCTTTGCTTGACAATCACAAACTCAAATTTAGGAACTTGATGTTTTTTGTGATGGAGGTGACATTAAACCATGGAGTTGAAAGTCAAGAGGCAGTTATTTTTTCCTCCAACATTAGCATGTGACAGTTTTTGTTTCTTTCGTGTTTTTTTTTTGATGAGCAAAAGGTCATAATCCCAAATTTATAATCAGTCTCCAACCTGCCTTTTGCCTTTAAGTGAAGCCAAAAGGTTTCTGGGCTTCTTGAGGCTCCATTTCCTTGTCTTTCCATGGGGGACCTGACGTGCCATGCTCAGCAGCGCTGTAGCAGAACAACAATCCCCCGGGGCTGACGCATGCCGGCTCAGAGAAAACGGGTGTGAAAGATGTCAAAGCAATTACAATAAGCATTACAGTTGTAATCTCCCCTGACAACAGGGAGTGTGAATGAAAAGGGCTTTACCCACTTCTTCTTTCTCTGGCCTCTCCCCGCCAAACAAACTGCTGCTTCCACAGCAGTTAATGTTTCCTCCGGTGTAACAGCTTCGTCAGCTTCTTGTTACTACCAACACGGAGAAGGTAGATTATTATTTTTCCTCTTTTCACCCAGGAAGCAGCAGGTGTTCCCTCTGTTGTTGGAATGATTGTGTATTATCCTTAACAGAAAGTCTGGAAGGTCTCTGTGAGGAAAATGCTTTTAATAAATCACATTATTGATTATGTGCTAAATATATGTATTTTGTTTATCGTAATTTTGTCATTTACACCCTGCAATTTACTAAATGTGTTCCCTCGAGGTATGTGTTTTTAGACAAGACTAAAGCGTTGGAAAAGTGAGGTGAAAAAGCCATCCATCACAGAGAGTGGGGAGATGTTAGGCTAAGCTCACAAAACCACGAGATGACGCGATAATCCGTCTTGCCAGGCTTCAAGACACACTTCAGTCCTCCGACAACCACTCAATTTTAAGCAAACTGACACCTTTTTGTATACTGCTGCCTCCTGGTATGTAAGTCTCTGCCAAAAATGTTCTTTTGACAATATGTTGACTGTGGTCTATTTATCAGTTGATTAAATAAATTAATTCAAAATGTGCAGTGTCTGGGTGCCCAGTTAGCTCACCTGGTAGAGCTGGCGACCATGTACAGAGTCCTTGCTGCAGCGGCCAAGGGTTCGAGTTCGAGTCCGACCTGTGGCCCTTTGCTACGTGTCATCCCCTCTCTCTACCCCCCTTTCCTGTCTATTTTTGCTGTCACTATCAATTTAAAAAAGCAAAAAATGACGTGCAGTGTCTGCCCAACTTCAATCAACTGCCGAAAAATCAACTAACTACAAAACTTCTTGCATGTTTTCTGGTTTTGTCCCAGGCTGATGAATTTTTGGGCTGAAAAGCTGTTGATCTGTTGTGTGTCATTGTAGATTGACGCTCATGGCTATATAAGGATACTGTATGATTTCCCAACATCAACACACCTTAATTTTTTTTCATTCGCTCCCTGGATCAGCTGATCCCCTCTAATGTGCCGTCATTGCTTCCTATCCTAGCATTTTTGGTGTGCGGTACAGATGGAAGTCAAAAACAAAGAGTGCTGCTGATGTGAAGCTGCAACTTAAATCTCCTTGCTGCACAACTTTACAGCAGAAATAAACATACAGCCTAGTAAAAAACACAGTTTTGGTCTCTATAGCTAATTTCTTTGTTTATTTTGTAAGGGGGTTAGATTTTTATATAACTCCCACGTTGGAATTAAATTAAGTAGGGTTGGTTTGTTTTAAAATGGTAACGGTGCCTAAACAATGCCTGAACTGTAAATAACGGTCGGACAAAATATTAACTGTTTGAAATATACTTAAATATAAACTATACAATATATTAATATCAATAAATACAAAACACATAACACACAGCATAACAAATGCATGTAATAAATGAGTTACAGTACATTTTGAGTTGAAATTCTACAAACTCCAGCTTCAAACTTTAAAAATTCTTTTACAGCAATATTATCAGATTTTCTAACCTGAGGAAAGGCTGCTATCGTCATCATCAATGGTCCCCCCCATCATTGACCATCACAGATGGTGTGGATTTGATCTTTAATTCCGCCTACAAAGCTCAGGTCTATGTGATATGGGCAGCGATTCAGAGATCTGGAAACTAGGATAGGAATACGTCTCTCTTCCGGAAAATAGATGAAAGAACCCTTACTGAGAGACTAGTGGAACAGAGGCCCAAGCTAATGGAAGAGATGTCAGGACTTCAGCTTTCTATGCATTGTTGTATTTCTTTTTTGTTGACATTATTATTTCGGGGTCTGTTCCATCTCACTGTAATGAAAAACTCTGCTGCTAAATTTCAAGCTTCACTGTTGTTCTGTATGCGTGCAGAGGTCATCATGTACAGCCAGCAGGCTGTCTTCCAACTGGCTATACTGTAGGGTAATATTAGCTTATGAACAGCATGGATGGAGTGAATTGTGCCCCATGAATATCAGCCATGTTCACATTTTCAACGCCAGACTCAACAAACTTCTTGCAGTGAATATGTGACATTGTTCTCCATATTCAGCCTCTTCCCTCTTGGAGTTGTCTTCAGGCCTGTCTGTGTCCCCTGTCCTGCAGAAACCAGGGATGGATCTGGCCGACACCTACATCACCTTCGTACGGCAGAACCAGGACATTCTCAGAGACCGCGTCAACGATGAGCTGTACATCGAGAAGGTGTTTGATGTGAGTGCTGTTTCTCCTTTTAAAAGACAATTCCAGTTTATCATGGATATGTTTTTGGTAGCGTGTGTGTGGGTGTCTGTCCACAGCTAGTCTCACATACTACTGGACCAATCGCTCATATTTTCAGTGCACATTTATGACCGTATGCTCAAGAACTTCTCGTTCCAGTGATTCACAATGTTTGAAAAACTTTAAAAAACAGATTTAATTGACTGGTCTGTTTTATACAGACTGCTGACTCCTCACTACTCTGACCAGTAGGGGCCGCAAACAGCTGCTAGGCTAAAAACAAGGCTTACCTAGTCTGTTGCTGGACACATTTTGGTCTTTGTTGTGGCTTGAAAACTGACATCCTTAGAAAAGTTTGGTATTATCTTGGAATGGAGCATCTGCAGATTAATTTCACTCCTGATGTTATGATGCACTAAAGATGAATAAATCCCGCCGCCATCTTGACTGTGCTAGCTGTCTTCACTTCATGACTTATAGGTCAAATAAACAATATGATTATTAAACAGAACCATCACTAGTCTACCTATGTACCTCCCACCCCAAAAAATAATGGATTAAGAAGCACTCTTTTCTCTTGATGAAAGTAACACCAGCGAATGTCAACCAATGATAATATGGTTAGACAAGAGCATATCAACCAACCAATTGACCAAACGACCAGAAGGTGTCACTCATAATAAATAATAATGTTTAAATTTGGCCTTTATTCCAGTTTGTTTCCTTGTTGAGTTTATACAGTTAGGCGAACCCAGAACACTCATTTAACATCTGTTTCCTTGCCGAGATCTGCACTCTACTGAGTGCACTCTTCTATTGGCAACATGGGTCTTATTTTTGTAGTTTTTTATCAGTAATAATAACATTGTATAACTGAGATCTGATTATTTTATGAAATATTCCAAACTTGTTACAAAAAAGTAAAGGTTAATGAATGTAAATGGTTGTGGCCTTTGCTGTAACTTTCCCTTCCATCAGAAAACTTTTTTTATGCACTATGAAAAAGTGTCACCAGTTCTGTGGAACGTTTTCAGTCAACTTTCAGGTCTACAGAGTGTGTTTGCTACTCAAAGGATAGATTTGGGTGGAATATCACTTCAAGTAGAATATGTAACACACTCACTGTCTTATGTAATCTACCCGGTGCAGGTATCCACATAAAACACTCTGAGGAGACTTGGTTGCCTCATCTCAGTCCTGAATGTAAATTGTTTTTAAGTGCCAGAGATTTAGGAGAATCTATTGATTTTCATTAGTGTATTAGTGAGTGAGCAGGTCCTTTTCCATAGAGTCCACCATGTAGAACTGCCATGTTTCTACAGTAGGCCAGACCAAACGCTGGCTCTAGGGCCTTTTGCATTTTGAGTATGATATGAGTTTCCCAGCCTGCATGCTTGGTTGAGATGCGGGTTTCGGTTGGTTGCAGTCTGCAACATCACTGCTAGATGCTGCTAAATCCTAAACACTAGACCTTTTAAAGGATGACATAATTTAAAAAGCGCCAGTCAGACCTCATACGATGGAAAAGCATCTAGAAAACATGATGGACATATGACATTTCTGTTTGTTGCATGTATAAATGTGAGGAAGGTCATAGTCTCCTCATCGCTCCACACAGATCTGATGTTTTTGTCGGATTTTTATGTTTGGTCAAAATTTCGCTCTGTTTTTTTCATGCATAAATTGAACAGTTGGAAATGCACTTCATAGAGAAATGTTACAATAACTCTTTATTGCATCTGATCTTTTCATAAGATCCACAGTAAATGCTTGTTTGAAAGCACGGTGGGCTAATACAAATCTTTACAAATCGAGCTCACAGTCAGGTGTTTATATTGTTGGTGTGAGGTTTGATTCTCCAGTTTCAGAGCAGCAGCAGGTCGCTTTGAGGCTGAAAACACAGACTGCTTCTGTTGACCTGTTTATCACTTAGGAAACACAGAGAGCTGTCGGCTCGCTCTGCAGGAGTTGCAAACACCCCTCCACACCTCCACCCATCCATCCATTCCTCCATCCCACGCTGTCCGTTTTCTTCACCGACCGCCCCCCTCCAGGATTCAGATTTATAAGAATATTTTAGCGACGACTTGCCAAACACGTCTCAGTTCGCCACCGTGAGTCAATGCAGCGGACATGGTGGCTCAGACCTTCGTACACATTAGCAGCACGAAGCAGAGCGATAGATTTCTGCCACCTGCTGCCTCCTCTGAGGGTTGCGCGTATTGTGGCTGAGGCTGTGCTGATCTGTGTGTGTGTGTGTGTGTGTGTGTGTGTGTTGAAAGAGTATGTGTGGGGGGTTGAGGAGAATGAGTCTAATGGAGCTCAGAAGCGCCCAGTCATGCACCAAGGAGGAGGTGACGACGGGGTCTCAAAGTGTCTGCGTTCAGCCCTTCAACATGCATCACACACACACGGACACACACAAACATACACTGGGTGTGTAACAAAGAAAGTAAACCCTGTGTTCATACAGCAGCATCAGGCCTCTTGCCAGGAGCATATGGGTATGCAATTGTCTTGTTTATGCGCATCTGAGCCGAAGTCGATGTCAAATTCAGGTGCCTTTTCTTTAAACAGAAGGTTTGTTGACACCGACGGATGTAAAGAAGAAAAAGAGATTTGTTAAAGCAAGCGATGTGACAAGACGCAGGGCGAAGGTGTGGGGCATCAGCTCTCAGCCGCAAACCCATCCACAAATTTTTGTTCTGCGTGTGCATGCTCACATGTGCTTTCCGTCTATTTGTCTACAAGTGCTCACCAGGGAACGTCTTTGTGTGGATGAGGAGTGTAATACATGCCCTCACACACATGCACACACAGCGCCATCCTCTTCACATTAGTAGCCAAATCACCTTGATGAAGCAGCTGACAAAGATAACCCTGTTTGCTGTTAAAAAAAAAAAAAAAACTCTTCACTTCAGTTTTTATAAACAATGTTTTATAAATGTGTCAGCATTTTGACACAAGACAATAATATAGCACATCGTTGCACAAGAAATGACATAATTTCATCCTGGTATTCCTTTTGAGAATATAAAGTTTTATGAGCTCAAAGAGGAAACACACTAAGGTTAAAGGACAAAACACATTATTTTAGTTTAAGTACAGTGCATCATTTTTTCTGTTTCCATTTTATTTATATTCAGGAATTTTGTGCGAACAAAATGACTGGCTAAACCAGAATGTGCGTCAAATGTTTAAATTACATAATTACTGTGACACCATCAGGGAAGTACCCTCCATTCATCACGTTGATATTGTATCTGACAAGACTAATGTAGACCCACAATGCTGTGCAGGCCACCCTCCTTCCCCCCACATATTCCCTCCATCTGTTTTCACTCTCGTCCTCTAATCAGCTCAATTAAGGAGCGTCTTCGTACTCAATTTCCACGTCAGTTAACGTGGCTCGCGAGGCGACCGTCAGGCAGCTGATTAGCCGCTCTGAGGAAACTCGCCTCCCAGAGTCTCAAATAAATGTTTCACTAAGCAGGGGAAGAGAGGGAGGAGGAGAGAGAAGGAAATCAGAAGAACTCATCACAGGAGCAGCACATATCATCCAGTAATTTCAACAACCTCGAGCATCTGTTAACACAGCAAGCTGATTAGCAGCTCGAATTCCAGCATAAGAATATTTAGCCTGGAGAGTGAAACGAGGAGAAAATTATGAAGGATGAGGAAAAAGAACAATAACATAGCCAGAATGGCTCAAACGGGCACTCTTCACCGTTCTAAAACAGAATAATATATGTCACACAGCATATAAGGCAAGTTTATTTTTCTATCAGTTCACTTAAAAGGGTGATTCAAAGTGCTTTATATAATGGATTAAAAACATAAAACTGCATTAAAACTGTGAGCAAACAAACAAAATAATCATATACTTTATTATAGTATTCTATTAGATATGTTTAACCAGAACACAAAGCACATTTTAAACAAGGTATGATTACTGTCAGAGTGACTGGAAAGACACGAGTAGATGCAGATTTGCTCTAGTGGCACAACTTTCATTGAAGATGAAGCACAGATTGTAAATGTATCAAACATGAGCTTATCTTGAATTCTCATGTCTCCACCTCATCAATGTGTACAGAGATGATACCCCACCTTCAAGTGACGTCATATGGCCGGCGTGTGTTCCACTTCAGCATTTCCAAGCAAAAATTTAAGAGATTTCATAAGACTTTTGGAAAATAAAGAAATCCCATGAAACTTTGTGATGAAACATTAACAGCAGAGGTCAAGATTAGTAAATTCTTGTGAACTACAGTTACCACAAGTTTATGTACATCGTGTCTCCGTCCCCCTTTTGGCTCAGCTGTCAATCAAACACCAACCCACCCACTCCGAAGCTTAACGAGCATTTCTGATATCTGATCTCCAAAGACCTTTTCTCCTTTTTTTCAGTAATAGAAAAACTGAATACACTTGACAATCACTTTAAGTTCGAGGACAATGTTTTGCCACATTGATTAATATAAAGCATTAAAATTGCATTAATTTAATCAACAACTAAAAGCAACGACATTAGAAAGATACAACTAGTCAGTTGGATTACTGGTATGATCACTGTTTCTGCAAAGAACACAATGCCAACGTAAAATGTTGGGCATTAGATTTTACTTCAAAGACGCTGCGTTTGTGAACGTTGGGTTACTTTTCAGATCATAAGGTAAGACTTTTTCAGAGAGCACACATTCTGTGTTTATTCTCTCTGGACAGAAAAGAAATATAATCAGGACCCGTAATTAAACTTGAATCCTCATTTGTAAGTTAAAATTAGTCGACACTTAACAACTTGGATTGGGTAAAAAACTGCTTTATTACTTTGACATTATTACAAGGAGCCAGTGTGAAGGGGGTCAGAGGTTGTTCCCACAATAGATGGAATCAAATATTTGCGTGACCCCAGAATGATCACGGACGTGTTTTGGCTTTTGTCAAGTGTATGAAATACCCTTTGGACTGTTTTTCTCTCTTAAATTGGAAGGTAATTACAGTTCTTGTCAGTGTGAAATTAAGTCTGCCAGCGGCTCTTAAAGCAGATCTGAATATTACGGGTCATTACTGTGTCAGAGCAATTTTCCCAAGCATTCTTGTTTGACTGGTAACTGAATAAAGCACCCAATGTGTGCATTTTACCAGCTGAGTGTTGAATATTGCTGTAAGTGAGGATCGCTCCTCTAGTGAGAAAAGGTGCAATTGATTTCCCTACAGCTGTGGCCTGGTGGTTGAAGGTGTGAAGGAAGAGCGTTTAATGAAAATTACAAAGACGGAACCAGATTTTTTTTTTTCTTCTTTGAAGGTCAAAGCAGAGCCGTGAACTCTTCCCTTGATGTGCAGCATTCAGGAGTTTTCCAGTAAATTGGTGCCTTTGAATAAGTAAATGTTTTACCCTCTTTGAGTTTTGCCATTTTGATGCCGCACATCTTTTGACCTTGTGTTATAGTGTCGTCTGTGTGACTGAAGCGAGGCATTTCAGAGGCTGTTAGCAAGCAAACGGCGATCATCTGAACTCCTCTGAATCCGAGCACAGAGAAATGACAAGCATAAACTGTCCTTGCGCAGAGAGCAGCTGTATCGGCATTAACATAATGTCATTTTGCCTGTGGAAGAGGAAAAAAAAACAAAAACGCAGCACTGGGTCTTAAGATGCTCCTTAGGGTTCTGGTCTTGGTTTTCGGAATTCAAAAACAGTTTGATGTTGCTTTCAGGAGGATGAATGAAGCTGCATTCAGCTGGTTTGTGATGGTCTGAGGTCACATCTTCCATACTAGAAAAGTGTTTTTCACTCTGTATGACTGACTCAGTTTTATCATTTGTAATGCTACACTTTAAAGGGTAAGTTTGTTAACATTCTACGTATGTTCGAGATTTTGGCTTAATTTGTATCACCGTGAAACACATTATTAATAATTATTGATAAATCCTAGTCAGGTGTTTCCACATCTGAGCGTTGAGACCAAAGTTTAAGCATGGTAGACAGTAATTCCTGTAATGTCTAATAGATGTATTGACATGAATAGGAAAATAACAACTTCTCTCTACAAATACAAGTTCAAAAGTGTTTTTGTGAGTGTTTATGGCCTCAGTAGATCACTTCACTTCTCCCATCTTTCCAATTTTAAAATTATTTTACCTTTACAGGGCCATTTAGTGAAAAGAAAACCAGGTAGGGAAATGTTTATCACAAGTTGGGATTTATTTTCATAGCTTGAGTCATTTGTTCTCTATCAGTCACCATTGTACACCAGTGGCTCAAGAAACACAAGCAGTCAGACAAACCAACAGTTTATCCATATTATCTTAACAACAACTGACTGTTTGGGCAATCATTTTACAGTTTTCACTTCCAAATAAGTCTGTCTATTCTTTTTTGTTTGTTTTTGTTATTTACAGCAATGGTACACCGGCTCCACAAAGGCTGTGTGTGTTTGGCTGACAGACAGACTGGACCTGCAGCTCCACATGTACCAGCTGAAAACACTCATCAAGATTGTGAAGGTAAACGAATGTAACAACATTACGAGAGACCAGGGGGCTGTTTAACAAAGCCTTTAAGGCGGATTAAACAGGGATTTTCCAGTTATCATAGAATTTAGCCATGACTCTGTTTCATGAAAGCAGCAACACGTATGTTACCATGGAGATTTAGTCTGTGTTAGTCTGCTCCAGCCAGGCTTGATTAATCCTGGTGCCTTACCTGTTCAGTCAGCAGTCACTCCGACCGTTATGTTCTTATGTATGTATTTATCTTATATTTGTTATTAAAACACTATAGGTTCATATCACCATTACTATTTTAACATAGAAATAGCAGAGGTAGGTCTACATATTGCCATCCAGTTAAGTGTTATTATTTGAACACTTTTTAATTATTTATGGGATATTGTTACTGTTGTGTGTGAGACTATATGACTTCAAAAGACACACACCAAGTGGTCGGTTCCAACCGACTTTCCTTATTTAAAAAATCGAATTTGTTTATTTAGCACACTCAAAAATGTTCTAAACATTGAAGAATTGAAGAATGTATTTCATAAAGAAACAAAATGAAAAATCCATTCATACCACAGAAAGTGCTCAAAAAGTGGTCGAAAGACTGGATCTCAACAGTTGCCAACATTACTGACTATCCACCCACATTACCTGCACCCAAATAGCAAGTAGTGTGGTGGGCCGCTGTTCATATTCATATTAAATGTCCTATTTTAATTCTAGCATTGTGGATTAGTGGTTATAATGAATCTCCATTGTAAATTACCTGAGTTAACTTCCACTGCTCTTTTTAAGGCCGTGTACAATTTGTGAAAATATACATTTAAGCTACTCACACATTCAGTCATTTAGCTATTGTCTGTTACTCTGTTTTATTACAGCGGCCTATTTCCTTATTTACATAATATGCTTTACATAAGCTTCCATTGTGTAAAGTATGTTTAATGCATGTTGTGAACGTATGAAGCCAGGGTGCACTCACTAGACTAGCTCAAGCTTCACTTTATCAGTTATCCTGGATTTCTTCATTCTGCTTTTCTGATATAGGTGGTTATATACTCAATAAGTCATCCCCTGTTTACCCAATCTAGCCAAGAGTGTGTTCACATGAAAGGGGCTGTGTTTGCAGCATGTGACCAGTCACGAACATGGACAAATCTACTGGCAGGAGAGCAGCATATTTTACAAATGAAGAGCAAACTATAATATTAGAGAAAGAAATATAAAGAAGTTAAACACAAAATCCAGCCACGGAGCAACACAGTTGCTGGGAGGACCGCTGGCAAAAAATGGCAGACTGTATCATTAGCGCACAAGGAGGTCTGTAATACATTTGTGAATTCCATTAAATGAATGTGTTGCTTCCATGTATTCTCATGGCGTGTATGACACTGACAACGGGCAATGTGGCCCGGCCGTAAGAGACTCTCTTGATCCTCATACTGAGCTCCACGGGATCTTCTACAAATGGTGATGCCATTTTCCAAGAGAATTCATTTGTCAGTAGGCAGTGCTTTTAAGCATCAGTCTGTCATCTCCAACATAATGCTCCAACATCCAACATGCTCCAGAGCAGGTAAAGTGTGCAGCAGCAGTTAACCACCATCGTAACCCTAAAAACACAGGGTTAAATCTGAAGGTACCACGCTAACCCCAAATCCTCGTCATACAGCCCTCTGAACTTCTGTCAAAAGCAAACTACAAATAAGTGTTCAGATTCCAAAAAAAAGACTGTGTTTGTCATTCTGTGTGAGAGTTTGCGAATTTTTCAATTCAAATGCTCCTTTTCTGTGCTGTTTGAAAAGAGCTGCAGTGAATGAGCCTGAGACTGGCTAAACAGCATTTTAAAAAGCATATTAAATTGTAGCCTATTCATGTAAAAACAGTCAGAAGTGACACCGAAAGAAAATAAGAAAAAGTAAAGACAAACCAAACCATGCTGAAGTGTCCTTGAAAGCAGCAGCAGCGGTGTGAAGAGGCGGCGATACAAGAGAAAACTGCTCAACTGTGCGCTACTGCTCACTGCTTTTGTCTTACCCTAGTTTGCTAATGTACAGAGACGTGCGAGTTTAACTTGAAAGCAACGAGACAAGGAAATATAATGGCTTCTGACTGAAGGTAAAGACCCCTCAGATGCCTCAGTCTGCCTTCCCAGTCCGACACATAAAAGACTCGTCCTTGAGCTTCAATCTGCCCGCTTTTGTCCGAACAGCAGCCGCCTCCCGTTCACTGCATTCCTAAGATGCTCTCTGTTTTTCTCTCTCCTCTCTTTTCTCCACCCCTCCCACCTCAACAGAAGACCTACCGTGACTTCAGGCTGCAGGGCGTCCTGGATGGCACACTGAACAACAAGAGCTACGAGACCATCTACAACCGGCTTACAGTGGAGGAAGCCACAGCGGCTGTCAAAGCGGGAGACGGCCTGCAGGGTATCAGCATGAGAGACAGCGATGAGGAGGACGATTAAACACACATACTTCATACTTTCACACACTGTGTTACTGCTTGATTATCATCCTTTCTTACAGATCAGGACTTTATATTACAGTGAATGATATGTGTCCTCTATAGTGAACTTTGCTGAAACTACAGTAACAAATGTAATATTATAATAAGGCCCTGAAAATGAAAAAGAAACATCAAAACTATGTCATGCTAATGTTAGTTAGCTGTTCTCCACTGAACTCCACTTCATTCCGTCTAAATCAATATAAACTAAAACTAAAGTCAACAAAATAAGAGTGGGTAATGATCAGAAATGTGTATCTTGCCGCTGAGCAAAACACTTTGTGTATGATTAACTGCAGCCAACCACTTTTAGCTCACTCATCATCTCCTGATGGAAAATATAAACTACAACAAATCTGACACTGCAGGTGACTAATATAATTTCATCATAATGTACACAAAGGGATACCTGTCATCTGGTATCAGGACAAGTCACGCTCACTATAGATAAGCTAGCAGACCATGTTGTTAAAGCATGTTCTCTGTTCAACAACCGCAGTCAGTAAACCTCTTTAAAGGTGCAGTGTCCAAGTTTAGGAGGATCTATTGGTAAAAATGGAATATAATATGCATAACTTTGTTTTCATTAGTATACAATCACCTGCATATAGGAATCATTGTGTTTTTGTGACCTTAGAACGAGCCATTTTCTATCATTTTATCCTTTCGCACTTAGAAGGGGAGGGTGAAGCGAGGGGATTTCAATCTGTAGCTATACCGCTAGAGGCCACTAAACCCTACAGGAAAACAATAGAAAGAAGAAATGGTTATCAGGCACAATGTGCTTCTTAACAGCAAAGCAAGCTACACTAATGTTAGCTAGCAAGTTATTTTCTAATAAAGTTTGCTTCACTCAGTCACACTCAAGAATACAAATTCTGAACTCTTTAAAAAGGTAAAAAATTTGATAAAGATACATCGTGACTAGAACTGAATTAAAGTTATACCCCTGTATACCCCCATTTGAATTTAACGTTACGTAAGCTGGCTGACGTTAATGTAGTAGCTATCATATTTCTAGCTAACAGGACACATTCATTCAGACAGCTGTTGTTAGGTGATGATGGACACATTTTTGTCATTACTGGTATAAACATTTCGTACAGTTACAGTCATAGTTGATAATGGAGTCCAGCAGTTATAAGCTTTGCATCAGCTTTTTGATTTAAATACAAATTTATCATGAGAACTAAAAAAAGAAATCTTCACAAATTAAAGAATAGGGCTAGCATTGTTGTGTATTTTTCTTTAACAAATCCAATGAGAAGACCAAAACCAACAATGTTCTAGTCAATTTCTCAATACTTTCCAACTTCTCTACCCTGTGTGATTCATCATGGAGGTGAAAAGGTGAACCCTTTTTCTGCTTTACAGCCACATACCTTATTTTCTCTACACACTGAAAACTTTGATGCTCAAAAAAATCTTGCGGAAAAAAAACACAACTTCACACTGTTTCTCTCCAACTCCTCCGTGAGAGTGCAGAGTGCAGTTGCACATGTGCAGTAGAGGTAACATATCATGCATTATGACTGAATGTCCTGATCAGATAAGGATGAATGCGCAGGTAGTGACACCTCCCGCCACATTTTACCCAACCTGTCACACAGTCATTGCCTGAGCGCTGCTGTTCATACGTGTTGAAACGTACGTACATGAGTGAGAATGTACGATAGTGTCAAGGTGAGGCGAGGCATCTGAAGGACACTCTGGATGGTGCTGAGACAAACGTCGTCCTCCCTCTCTCACCTGCAGGACAGGAAGCCCCGCCCTCCACATGCAGCCATACTCTACTCTTTGATGTCACTTTGTACAGTAGAGCTCAGCGATCACCGCCAGTGCAGCTCCTTCCTGTTTGGTTTTCATCCAGTAGTAGCTTATTGTTGAAAGCGCGAAAGGCTCCGGCAGCTCGGACCCCAGTGTTTTGGAGTGATCTTGCCACAATTGATGGCATTTTCCTGAAAGCAACAGCAGCTAAATTAACTAACAAGATTTCTTTTTATTTGACAGGAAGCTTGGAATTGTAAGGGTTTATTTGACTGTTTTAATCAAAGTTACATCAGCACGACTGCCTGAACAATATCACCATTCTTTTGCCCGGAATAGTGGGCAAATCTGCAGCACACAACTTACAATGCCAAAGTTTCTGCACTAGTGTGTTTATGTAGTGAAGCAGAAAGTAAAGTCGGGGTAGTAAATGGCATGATAGCTGAATGTACTACCATTCAGCTATCATGGCAAAGACTGATTTGAATCCCATCACAGACCAAACAATTAATGTTAGCTTTTGTTAACCGTCACAGTCATCTTTCCCTAAAGTTAAGCAAGTGTTTTAGTTGCCTAAGAGAACCCAGACCTTAAAGTATTAGTATGGTTTTATTACCGTTTGGTTCTTTGTTCATCATTTCGTGGCGGTGTTTACAATGGACATATTTTTACTGTTTCCCTTCATTTTTCGTTCTAAGTAAGTTTGTCTGACTGCCCGTGCTTTTTGGGCTATTGTACTTCCAATAACTTTGAATGTTATTGTAAATTGACGGTTGATAAACCCAAGTTGTAATAAACAAGGAGTATCATTTACCTTGAGCTTAACCACGCTTTCCACAATAATCTTTCTGTAACACAAAATAAGAATCAAACATTAGCGTTTCATGCTCAGAAGCTTTGTCACAAAATCCAGGGTTTTCTGGAGCCTTCTGTCAAGGTTTTTTGTGGCAATAGTTTTGAACTTTCAGAACAAAAAAACAAATGACTTAATAGCTTCATGTTTGATGTTCAGTGTCTCTGCAGTAGAACTCTTACAACTCCAAGCTAATAAAACGTTGCTGCTGTAGTTTCTGAATCTGAACCTTCTGTAGCTCAAAATGTCCGATCGGTGGCCTCTGGTGGAAGAAAAGATGCAAATACATAAAATATTTCTACTCTGGTTGTCCACTGTAAAATGAAATATTACTGAAACGGGTTTCTGGGTTATGTGAAACAAATCTACACAAAAGTTTCATCACTCGAAGGTCTTAAAAAGTGCTGAAACGGCATCCGAACTCTCTGATTGGAGAATAATTGTTCAGAATCATGACTACATGTCGATGTAGTTGTAGATCTGCTGTCATCTCTGTTCATTGTGATAGTTACTGTTGTGAAGAATAATATTGAGCTGTAGAGTGATATGGTCTTACTGCCTGATGTGCATCATATCCAACATTGATCAAAGTCTTAGAAACGTGCCAACAAACTGGAAAAGCGTGGACTTTTTTTCAACATGAACTTCTTCGGAGAACGTGGATCTGTTTTAATCTGATTGATGTGTTTATGATCAGCTGTGAGCAGACGAAGCATCTCATCACTGCTGTTCGTTCACTACTGTCTGTTTGCGTGTTGTCGTTGACAAAATAAGAGTTTTACCTGTAAAGTCAGTGTAAGCCTCTGATCTACTGTGTGCAACAACCTGCTGTTTGTTTTAACTGTCCGATCCAGTTTGTGTCAGTGCAGTTCAAAGGACAAAAACTAAAGGACAAAAATCTATATAAAGAAGTATATTTATATTGTCTTATTGTGCACCTGTTTTGTTCAGGTGTCTTATCTAAGTGTCACTATTAAAAGTGTTTTTAAAGCACCTGTGTTTTCACCTCGTGGGTTATTATTTTCTTATTAAAAGATGAGCTTCTTGGCATCAGCAACCAACACAGCTACTGGAGCTCTAACCATGGTCTCTTATTTAGCATTTAAACAGCGCTGTATATGGACATCCCTGTCTTCTAATTTAGTGAGTTGTTAAATGTTGTCTGAATAGTTTTCTTACAACAGTCTGATCCCCCGTACACAAAACAGCTCCATAAAGAAAAGTTTTCCCATCAGTGTTGCAGCCACGTTCCAACATCTGGTGGAAAGCCTGAAACCTGAAGAGTGGAGGCTGCAGCAGAAAATGAATGCCATGGTTTTGGAATAACACTGGGCATTAAACTTAAATACACAGAACCAGGTGGACATACTGTATAAGATAAAAATGTGGCAGCAATTTGTTTGTAAGTCAAGTTGTCGGTCCAAACTTCCTTCAAACTCACAGAACTTTATTTTACTGTGAAGATCATAAAATTCCCAGTTGTTACCAAATAAGTACGGCTGAAATTTGTGTAAATGTGAATATTTCCATCTGAAGGAACGGTGCAACCTTCGGGGGCCTTAAGGCCAAACGCATTGCACATTCTTTTTATTGTTATTATTTAATAAGAATAATATGGCCATAATACATCTAAAGGTTTTACAACATTAAAATTGACTTTCAGCAAAGAAACCAATAAATAAAAAGAGCAGAAGTATCAAATTCAAATGTACAAGGTAATTTGAAAAAAGACCTGTTATTAATAACCAGTATCCGATTTCCTCATTTTCCATCTTGATATTATGAACAGCAAGATATTGTTCATCAATTTAAATATAGAACTGACAGCGTTCCCACAGGCCTGGAAAACCTGGAAATTTAGCGGATAATTTCCCATGGAAACACCTGGAAATTGATTTAAATGATCAAATGGAAACTGGAAAGTGTTTTAATGTGTTTTAGCCCCTCACTCAGAGGGCCTGTGTGCAACCTGGGTGCATATTGAGTTTGACAGTGGGCAGTTGGTAGGATGGGCTGTGCGCTATGACGGTTTATGCAGCGGGACGCACTTGCGGCAACAGCGCCAGTTTATTTTCCGCAGCCAGCTGCACATCTGCACAGCCATGTTAATTGTACGTGCAAAAAACACCTTTTACTTGTATCAATTGGCTAATAGAAAAGAGGAGTTTTCTGGGAGACTAAATGAATTCTAATTGATTTAAAGTGTTACATATGAGCTGTGGCCAAATCAATGTTCCTGTTAGAGGAGAACTGTAACTGCGGTCAGGTTGGCGCAGACCACGTGTGTCCCACAAACACTGACCACCGACCCGTACTGAACACTGCATCAGGGGCCCTGTCCTTTAAAAACTGTTCTGAGTTCAGTGTGTCAGTAGGGGGGAAATGATATGACTGCCTGTGAGCTAGTGCTGTATAAACTCCTGCAGTCCGCCCTGCTGGGAGATTCTGTTTTTATTACAGAAGTCAATAAAAAATAAAACATGAGGAACCACAAATATCTGAATGGGTTTCTAAGCTCACATTAATACACAGGCTGATAATGAGCACTGAACGGGATGTTAATATCACTGTCACAAAATGAAAGAATTGGGTGTGAATAATTCATAAAGCTGGTTGTGCCTGTAGACAAACACAGGGCAGGTTATCATTGACTGTGTTACAGATACTACTACTACTAATAATAATACTAATAATAATAATAATAATTATAATAATAATAATAATAATATTTAGCACTTCCTATGATTAACATACAACTCATATTTACATATTTATTTTTTGCATAGTTGCTTTTTTCCGCACAGAACATACAACTCGCTTCTTAATTATATTGTACACAACACCTTACACTCATTCTATTTATTTCTTCCATAGCTGCACTTACTGTAGGCCTGTTTATGGCTCATATTGTAAATAGCATCCCCTCACCCTGTACGTTACCCTATACAGAGGGTAATTCTGTTTTTTATTTTTTATTTACATGTTGCTACTATTTGCACTTTGTAGTAAACTGCATTTCGGATCATGCATAATACACATAATACATGATACAATAATAATAATAATAATAATAATAATAATGTTATTATTATTATTATTATTATTATTATTATTATTATTGTCATCGTTCTTATTATAATAATTATTAGTAGTAGTT